CCACCTACGCAGGGCCAGAACTTTCAGCAGATTACAAGGTACCTCTCTTTCGATTGTTCGACTTTTGGATAGAGAGTTCAGGATTTGATCACAGTTATGAATCTCTAGAGACTTCATAGTTTTCTGCCCATTCCTGACAGCTCTTTCCCTCACAGATAACGAACATTCTTAGAGAAACGTAACCTATTAAAGCTGAGGAAGTTGCTGAGGCCTGCTGACCTGTATGCTGAGGGCTCACAATTCCTATAAAGACCTAAAGGATCGAACCCTAAGGGCAAGGGTTCATCATACCTTAAGAAAATCAAAGCCTCTAGTAAAAGTAAAATGACTTCTTTTTATTCCTGTTTTGTCATTTGGTGGTGTTAAGGGACATACACGTCCAGAGTGGTCCTCTAAAAGGCCAAAAAGTTGGAAGATGTTTTAAAGACTGTAATGCGACAAAGCACCCTTCTGTTCAGGAACATTTTAATGGACTTAATGTATCACCATTTTTACGAGATACTGTTGCACATGTATAGTCCCATTTCTGATAACTGTTCTCCTAACCTTAAAGAACTCATTCCTCTGCTATACTTTCAGACTACTTGGGCATACGGACACTTTTTCCTACCATCCGTTGTTTACATTAGGTCTAAATGGTCACAGGTTGGGGTCCTGAAGCCGGTACTAGCTTCTCAACCTACTTGCACCGTACTAATAGGTAATGTAAAAAGGTTGCCATCTCCTTCTGAGGTACCTTTCATCACCAAAGGTGGACATAATTTTCAAGAACCTCTTCTTGTAGATCAGAGGAACCCCTCAAAAGTTTCCAGATGAGACAATGTCTCGTGAGATTCATTGGGATTAAAAACCAGTGATGCTACTCTTCGAAAGCGAGGTAGTAGGTGCACCGGTTCACTTGTTAGATGAAAGTGAAGATTATCACCTCCGATACCAAAAATGTCTTGACTAGGGCTCAACCAAAGCCCAGGTTTCTCCTACTGTCCATCCTTATGTTTTCCCTGACTTTAAGCCATTAGATATATCGAAGGACTCCTTTGACAATTTCCAACGAAATTTGCCCCCTTCTCTCAGAATTGCCAAATGCCCGCTAAACAAAACAATTATCCAAAGGAACAACTTTCATATAAATTTGAATATATAAAAAAGGTATCTTTTACAAGTCAGTATTCAAATTAAATTCAGATGAGCCGACTATTCCCATCTTTAGTATGTTCCAAGTCAATGCAAGAGACTCTTCTTAAATGGCACATGACCTGCCAGTGGCCGACATTTCTCGCATCGTAAACTTAAAATAAAATTAGGAAACTTATTTTTGGCCAAAAAATGTTGTCCTCAGATGTCACTACCTATTGGTAGATCGGGTAAAGTTTGCCAACTGTCATCCTCCCCGAGGTACAGGCGAGTACCTATGGTCAAAAAAAATGGCCAGTCTTTACGTACCTTTTGAAAGAGTATCTATTACATCGTGGTCCCTATCTCCCACATGTCATCTGGGGGACATAGAATATATTAACATAAGTTGATTAATCTTCGAGTTTCCCTGAACCCTACCCTTGAAGACATAACTACTACAGAGGTGGCTTAAGCCCTTTTTGTCCATCTCTCCAGAGTGTGGCATCCCTAGAGAAATTTTTGTCTGACCGTGGGACAAACAATTCACAATCTGACTTAATGCACATCATAACCAACTTCTGGGAGATGAAAGCCCCTCTTCACCCACAACCCTATCATCCCAGCTGTAATGGAGGATTGAAGCGCCAGCATTCCGATTCTCAAGTCCAATTAAAGGAAACTTTGCACCCTTAAACTAAGAGTGGGCATCGTTACACCTACCCGTGCTTTGGTTTGCCTGAGGAAGTTTTCCCATGACGCTTCGGGGTTTTCACCTTTTTGAACTTCTTCTATGGTAAGACAGGCCAGAGGCCCAATGGCCATCCTCATGAACTTTAATGACTAAATGAGGAGATGAGTGCTGAGGTTTCAGTCCTTCTTACCAGATTCTCCTTGACCTTAGATCTAAACTTGAGGAACCTCTGACATAGTTTCGAAAAACCCAAGCTTGTCAATGGACCAGTACAAAACCTATTTTGACTCCATAAGTCAGAGGAGACGTTTTTAACGTAGGGGATGAAGTTCATGTACTTTTACCTATCAGCAAATAAAATATTAGTACATGGAAAGGTCCCATATAAAGTATTAAAAATTTGTGAAAGTTGAATTACCTCCAAATAAGTCAAGTTGAAACCTAAGCGCTATCATATCAACATCTTTTAAGAAATAATACCGAAGAAATTTGGTTAACTGCCTTATAACTCTGACTTAGTTTTTTCCACACGAACTTGATAAACAACGAAGAATGTAAGGTTGTGCATAATTGACACCTCTACCTCAGACTATGATGAAAGAACTACATACTTGGGACTTTTGACCTCTCGGACGCAACCAACATTAATATTAATGAATCTTTGGAAAGACTCGTAAGAGACAGGAACTACTTCAATTGTGTGAGTAACTTTTCAGAACGTCTTACTGATATTCCAGGTGTTACTCCACGGTAGTCCATAAATTGAAACTTAGTGACGGACAATCCTATCAAACGAAATTTTACCCATTCCATTTCACCTTAGGATGCAATTGACCGAGAGGTAGACAAAAAAATAAACTACGATCATTGAACCTTTAAGTATCTTCATATTGTTCAACCAGTAATCATGGTTCAGAAAGGAGGATAATTCCATATAACTGCAATTGACTTCAAGGCCTTAATGCAAAACTCCCCGGGGGATGCTGAGCCTATGCCCAAAATAGATATCGATCACACAAATTTTATGACGCTTCCTTCTTTTTCAGAGATGGAAATATTGCGCAGGCCATATCATCCAAGTAAATGTTAGATCCTATCTTCTACGTAGTAAACCGCTTTTCCTACACACCAAGGGACTGATGCCATATAGAACTAAGCCCTTCGGTTTGTAACTGCCTGTGCTACCTACGTGAGACTGATAGAACGGTCTTGGGTAATATGCCAAATGTTCAGTTTATGTAAATAACATTTACGTAATGACACCACGTGGTGAACATATCCAAACATTAACATCAGTTTCGCGTAGTTACGCTCACAGCATCACAGCCATGCGAAGAAATGCTTCCTGGGTCAAAACATATTAGATATCTTGGGACTGAATACTTTCTAATAACTCTCTGCAAGCCTTCTCCCAGTAAGATCAAGCTTTATGAGATTTAAATCCCCCACAACCAAGAAGCTCATGCTAGCCTTTCCTTGGTTCTGTGTATTTTCTGCACGGTTTATACCGAACCTTACTGATCTTACAGGCAACTTATCCCGACTTCCCTAAAAAGTCTGTGAAGGAACCCTTGAACTTTCCGAAACCGTATTCGGGAAAAGTTTGAATGAGATTAAAATATCTTTTTGAAAGACCCTATACTTAAATTCCAGATATTAATAA